CTGCTGGCAATGAAAATTCATTATTAATATCAAGGATGTGCCTCTTAAATTCATCCAATCAATTACTGTCGGACTCATTTCCATTTATTGACATAATTTCCTAATTTATTAAATCAAAAAAAATTGGATTATTATAAAAAAATTAATTCATACTGGATTATCTTATGACTATTAAATTATATCAATGAATGGTAATGGTTAATCCTGTTTATTTAAACAATATAATGATTTACCTTTCTTTATGACGATATTGGGATCTCGACCTATCGCGATCCTTATCGTCATCCTTGGAGACAGAGTCTCGGTCCCTTTCCTTGTCCCTTACAGCAGAATCTTTGTCTCGTTCCCCTCGATCACGATCTCTCTCTCTCCCAACGGAATCAACATCTCGTTCACCCATATCCCTGCGCTCTCTGTCGATGCCTCGAGTCTCAGGTCGCTGATCACGTCCTGATGGTACTATCAGAGGAGGTATAGTCAACGGAGGTACCATTGTGGGAATAGTCTTTGGACCTGCGTCTTTATCCTCGTGCTCTGTCAGAGGAATTGCTAGATTTGTCGGTTGCCAGGTCTACAAATAAATAAATAAATAAATAAATTCAACAAATAATAGTAATAATTGATAAGGAAAATCGATGAATCGACTCTTCAGTTCGATTCTTCAGTTTGTTCATTCGAAAAATCTCCGCAGAGGAAAATATTCAAATGAGAAAAAAAATTCTTTGAAAATTTCCACAATTAAGAATAATTTTAATTCTCACAGGATCGCTTCCCCATTGGCTATCCTGTGTTGGTTCATAGCTCTGATAATAAGAATCAGGTTCAGGAATGTAGAAAGGTGGAGGCTCTGGGGTGTATCCTGGTGGTGGCATATCAAAAGTTGGTGGAATACCAGGTACAGGTGGAGGTACACTCATATCAGGGAATCCTGGCTTCCTGGAGTACTCCCTCCTGTCAGCTGTCATCACCTGAATGACGTTCTCCTTCGGGGGTGATTTGTCAAGGTTTCTCCTGGATGCAAGACCAGA